TATATGTATATATTTGGAAAGGTTAAAGCACCTTGAGGTTTAACCTAACTGCAGACTATCCCAACAGAGAAGGTCTGGCAGAAAGGAATCTGCTTTTTCTCCCTACTAAGAGTGTCTGGGATTTGCTTCCCCAACCTCCAGACTTCCCAGAGCAAGACTGGACACATGTCAATTGCTGCAGATAGTGCCACACTACCCACCAATCACTTGTGAATAGACCAGGACAGATTGTGTCCATGGAAACTCTCTAAGAAAGTCCTAAAGTGCTTCATTTAGAAAAGTGAACATCTGGGCTATCTACGGGGCATTTTTTTCAAGTTAGAGGGACCTACACTCGATTGAAGCCCCCTGGTTCCTAGCCTGGGTCCCCCAAATTCTAGAGCCCCAAAAGGTGTTACTAGAAATCCATGAGCAGTTTTCGTTATTTCAGAATGAGTAACGGAAACCTTCCACGTATGTAGACAAAGCAGCACAGGCCAACTGTAATAGCACTATTTTGAACTGGAACTCACTATATTGATTTCAGACAACTCCAGTTACTGTTGGGGGTCATCTCTGATTTGTTTCACATGACACATGTAAAGTGGTACTTAATAACAATGGACAGTGGTATAGTGATTAAGGAACTGGATTCCCACATGGTTGGCTGTGGTTCAAGTCCCAGACCCAGCGACTTAAAAATCATGCTGGGCACATGTGTATGTGTGTGTACCCAAAATCCCAGGAAGAGAATGGAGGAGAAGGGATTGTGGTATGGCCATCCACCCTGGGGAGTGGGGTGATTCCTCACTTACCCTCCGCCTCACTCCTCTTAGGTGAGGCACATGCCCTACGGCAAAAACTTAAAAAAAAAAAAAAAAAGGACAAATAAATTTACACATGTACTTTGGCAAACTGTCTCCCAATACAGGGTACATGAGGATATCAACTCTCTCCTTGGAGAGCATTTCATACCTCCTTGGAGGTACGAAGAATGGGAACTACTGTAAAGAACAAAGCACAGGACAAAGAGCCAGGGTGGGAATTTGAAACCAGGGACAGAAACTATGTCATTGTGGGTGATGACCTAGAGTGACAGAACCAGCCAGGAAAGGATGGGGCCCCAGATCCTGTGTGAAGAAGGGAAGAGTACAGAATGTCGGGCGTGTGGAATGGAGGCCGCTAAGTGGAGGTCACAAAGTACTTGCTGCTCACGGGTTCTGTTTTATTCAATCCTGATGACAACAGGCCTCTTTTCGTAGTTTTAAAAATAATTTCATTTTATGGGAACCAGCAGTTAGTGTAATAACAATGTCACTGGACTCCCACGTAGTTGACCGTGGTTCGCTTCCTGGACCCGGTGGCTTAAAACTCACGCCAGACGCGGGCGCCTGCATGCCCAAGATCCCAAGAGGAGAATGGAGGAGAAGGGATTGCGGCATGACCATCCCCCCTGGGGGGTGATTTCTCGCTTTCTGTCTCTATGTCTCTCTCTGTCTGGTGAGGGCGCGTGCCATATAGCAAAAATCTCTCCAAAAATTAAAAAAATAAAAATAAGAAAATGATTTCATTTTATAGACTTTTATTATAAGCCACCTCAAATCCTTCATGGAGTGAGGCCAGGTATACATCTACGCACACCTGAAATTCGAGGGTGATTCTTTCTGCACAAATAACGAAAAGTGAGGCTTTAGCACTGCTTATGAAGGCCACCAGCTAGCGAGAAGGAGAATTCAGACTCAGAAACCAGGGAGGGAGAGTCATTATTCACTTCTTCCCCGCTCTTTCCTACTTCTAGTTAATCTCCAAGAAGTATCGAGTCCGTGCCCTATTTCTCAAACCAACCCACTTCTCTGTGCATCCACTGATGTTTCTCTAGTACAACAGCCTCTATTGATCTTCCTGCCAGAGGACTCGGGTTCAGCTTAGAACATGTAACTCTCTGCTTCTCTCTTGTCTTTAAATGGGGATCATATCGAAACTACCTCCTGGGGTTACTGTGAAAGCTAAGTGAAGTCATCCTTGTGGCGTCCTCATCATAGAATGTAATATGCACTTAGTACTGAAGCTGCCAGGGTCATCTTACATCACACTCTGGCTTAAAGTGTCACACAGAGACCAGGCAGTGGTGCAGTGATAAAATGTGTTGCTTTGAGAGGCAGTCCCACATGGGAAGGTTTCCTGTTCATGTCCAGAGACCTCCCTGAGTATGCCAGGCACACACCTGCCTGTGATCCAGGGTTGACTCAAGACTAGGGGTGGATCCTGGCATCAAGACCTTGTTTTGGGAACCAGCAGTTAGCATAATGGCTATGTCGCTGGACTCCCACGTAGTCAACCGCGGTTCGCGTTCCGGATTTGGTGGCTTAAAACTCACGCCGGGCGCGTGTGCGTGCGTGCCCAAGATCCCGAGAGGAGAATGGAGGAGAAGGGATTGTGGCGTGACCATCTCCCCTGGGGGGTGATTTCTCGCTTTCTGTCTCTATGTCTCTCTCTGTCTGTCTGGTGAGTGCACGCACCCTATAGCGAAAAAAACTCTCAAAAAAAAAAAAAGACCTTGTTTTGAGGTGTTCTCTCTCTGCTTCTTTTACTAATGGATAAAATTAATAAACTTAAAAAATGTTAGATAATTTCCCTGTACTCTTCAAATCTAGGCGTAATGTGCAAGGCTCTTCATGACTTGGCCCACTGCAGTCTTTAGACCTCCAGCCCCTTCTTCTCCCACTCATTTCCTCTTGACTTCTGTGCCTCAGCCACTTCAACTTCCATTAGTCCCTGAAGCCGCTATAATATCTTTTTCCTGACCTCCTTCTGAGCTTTCTTAGCCCTCTGTTCCTCTGAATCACAACCCTTACTGTCCTAGAATGGCCTGTTTATTTATCTGATTTCTTCTAAAACTAAAAAGCCCCAAATGGCCAGAATAAAATGTTTGTCTCATTCATTCTCAGAATTTAGCAAAGTTCCTGGAACATTGCAGGCACTCGACAATAGTTACAGATAGATGAGTAGGTGGGTGCATGGGAGGGGGAGAGGATAGAAATGACACAGATCTCTGGCTCCCAAGTCCAGGACCCTTTGTACCACTGCAGGCTGCTTGTGGCTCCGAACAAAAGAGGGTGGAGGGCCCTACTGAGAAGACTGAGAGGGTGGGACCTGGGGACACCTCGTTTCTCCCTCTCCAGTCTCAGCTCCACTCTGACTAGCATTTTCTTTTCTAAACAGCTAAAATTTGTAACTACCCTGCTTAAAAGTCCAAAGGAACCTCCCAGTGCTTACAGCAAGGAGCACACCCCTTGGAGGGGCCACCCACACTCGTGGTGTCTCAGACCCCAATCCTTCTTCACTTCCTCTCCCTCCCTTCTCGTCCATGCTCCCCTCCAACTGTTCTGCAGCGTTTGTTCCCTATTAGAGTGTAAAGTGTCCAAGTAAAACATATGATCAGCCTGGAGGACCCAGCCTCACCACTTGTGAGCTATATACATTTAGACACGTTACTTATACTCTGAGTCTCAGATGTGGTCATTTATAAAAATCATTTGTAAAATTGAAGTTGCTAATTCCTGCCTTACACATCTAGTACCTGAGACGCTGACCTGACCTGGAAACTAGCCAGAATTATGAGGCCACAGTGTCCGTGAAAGTGGGGCTAGGCAGGGTGTCCAGTAGAGCCTGAGGGGGAGCCCCTTGGAACATGGGGGGAACCAGAAGGCCCAGGAGAAAGGAGCAAGGTGAGAAAGTAAAGAGATGTTGGCCAGAAGACCAGG